GGGCTTTGGCACAAACACAAACGTTTGCATGATTTAAAATGCAGAGGCTCCAGAGAACATCCTTTCTTTCCTTTTCTTTTTTTTTTTTTTGCCTTTGTTTGCTAATCCTTCAACTAACCTCTGCAAGTGTGGAGTGGAGACTCCAGCCCCATCAGCTGTAATAAAGACACCGCTGTTATTTAGTTGTTGGTAAATATAAACACTTTGGTTTCCACACCGGCACAGCGTATGGCTGCTGCTGGATCCTCAGAGACAGCTGCTCCAGCCCAGGCAGGCATAGGGCACAGCCCCCAGCCCCAGCCCCAGCCCCAGCTCAGCCCAGCCAAGGCCTAGTTTAGTGTAGCCCAGCTTTAGCTTCAGCTCAGCCCAACAAAGCCTTAGCCCAGCCCCAGCACAGGACCTGGTGGCTGCTGCTGACCTATGCACGTTGCTAAATTGGGAGTGTGGTCTGAGCCAGGAGAGCCTGGTGAGGGCCAAGGGCGCCTGGAACGAGGTAGGAGTAAGGAGAGCGGTTGTCCAGGGGGTGAGGATGGGCCAGACTTCAAGTTCAGCTTTGTCAGGTGATGAGTGATTGCTGGGACCTTCGGGAAGTCCCTGCACTTGTGAACTATCAAATGGGGTCCTGGGGTGTGGGGATGAACTGACATTCAAAGGGCAGAGCACTAGCCCGGTACAAGGACTCACGACTATAATCCCAGTGCCTGAGGGAACTGCATTCTGAAGCTAGCCCATCTCAATGGAAAAGTTGGGTGCAGGACGCTTCGATGCTCAGGGCCTGGGCAGAAGCAATGCTGCTCAGGTCCACCTCCTGCGGTTTCCATGGCCTTCTAAGGACACCAGGCTAGGGACCCAGCAGGTACAGCTGGCAGGGTGAGGGGGTGTGGGCAGCGGGAGGGGGAAGGGGGGGAGGGAGGAAGCAGGGGAGGGAGGGAGGGACAGGTGCAGGGGGGCCTCCAAGCTAGGACTAGCGGCCTCTAGCGTGTAAAATTATGAACCTGTGAGTTCTAAGCTTCTCAATTATGCTGCCTGAGCTTTAAATCCAGCCACCATTGTGTGGGAAAAGTGGAACTGATAATAAGTTAATTAAAAGGCTTTGCTTCTACTTGCCAGGAAAGGAGCTCGGAAAACCCAGAGCACTGACTGGGGGGGCACCAGGGGTGGCCTCCTACTCCTGGGCCTCTGCCCTGAGCCCTCCTGGGCCTGGCCCTGCCCTGAGCCTTCCTAATCCCCTGCCCTGAGCCCTCTGAGGCCCCTGTCTGACTTTCCAGGACAGGAAACCCCCTCAGGGGAGGGCTTCTGAGGTGGGTTCTTGTCCACTGCCCACTCTGGAAGAGCCAGCCCAAGGCCTATGGAGGCCTGGTCCTCCGTGTTCTCCTGCTGCCGTCCAGCAAGTCCCCTGCTACACACACACACACACACACACACACACACACACACACACACACACACACACGGCCATTTTTACTGCAGGTCCTTTCACAGCTGGCTAGTGATTTTTGTTGGTTTATTCTTGGCAGCGTGGGCACTGCACTTGCCAGGCAGGTGCTCTACTGCTTGAGCCATGCTGCCCATCCATTTTTGCCTATCACTAAGCCCTTTTTACAAGGTCCCCACACAGCATGTGACAAAGGGCCCAGCCCTGACTCCCTTCAGGCGCTGTCTGTGGTGGCTGGCTTTCCGGTGGGCCCTCCCCTCCACCACACTGCTCTTCACCCTGGGTTCCAGCAGCGGACAGAGCCGCAGCCCTGCCTGGCTGTGTGCACCACACCACACCTGTTTCTCATCTTTTTCCTCTGCAAAATGAGAGAAGCAAGGCAGCTTTCTGAAACGGTGACAGGAAACTCCTTTGCATGACCTCATAAGGAGGACATGAGATGGAGGTGTCTTGACAAAGTCACAAGCCATGCACAGACTGGGTACAACAGTAAAGTCTGTCTCTGGTCGCTGTGCCAATCCTGGGGCTTGAAATAGGGGCCTGGGGAGCTGGCCCTGAGCGTTGGTGTCAAGGCTGGCACTCTACTGCTTGAGTTGCAGCTCCACTTCCAGCTTTTTGGTGGTTAGCTGGAGGTTAAGTTTCAGACTTTCCTGCCTGTGCTGGCCTCAAATGCAGATTCCTAGATCTCAGCCTCCTGAGTAGTTAGGATTAGAGGCGTGAGCCACAGCCACCTAAACCTCTAAAAATACTTTTTAACAGAGTTTTACTTTCTTCTATGTCACTGTTTTTAGATTTTTCCAAATTTTCTATGAGGTTCTTTTGTGCTAAAATTAAGAATATTAAAGGCTATTCATAGCAGCACTGCTACTAAAATAAGAATAATGGAGTGTACTGGTAACACACATATTTAATGAAAACACACTGGTGCTTCCTCTAAGCACCTCGAGGGCCCCTTCCAACAGGAGGGCCAACACCAGATGGGACCACAGGAGGGGAGGGGCCCACAGAGGAGACCAGTCCACAGGAGGAGGGGGGCACAAAAGAGGGGGGGCATGGAAGAGTGGGCACGGGGCAGTGGGTCAAGGAGGAGAAAGGCATGAAGGAAGAGGAGGTGGGCACAAGCAGGGGACACAGGGCCTGGGGTGGGCACAAGGCTAGAGGTAGAAGGCAGCCAGGGCAGGCACTGTGGTCCTAAGGGAGAGAAGCTTCCAGACAATCTAGGGGAAGGAATCTGGCTCAGGCCTGTGCTTCCCCCTCTTCCCTGGGTCTCTGCTGGCTCCCAATTGCTCCGTGCAGCCACACCAAGGACAGCAGACAGCAGCAGCCTGGCACTGCGGTTTGCCAGCAGGATCTGGCCAGCACACGGTCAGTTCTGAAGAAGTCCATGTCCCCTCTGGGCATCTGTGCCCGTGCCGGCAGCCACTAAGCAAAACCTGCTCCTAGCTGGCAAAACCTGCCGTGGCTCTGGCCTGCCACCCTGCAGTCCAGGAGGCTGAGAGCTGAGGACTGGCAGCAAAGCCAGCCCACGCAGATGAACCTAAGAGACTCATCTCCAATTGGCCAGCAAGAAGCTGGAAAGATGCTGTGGCTCAAGTGGTAGAGTGCCAGCCTTGAGTGAATAAGCCAAGTGAGTGGGCATGAGGCCCTCAGCTCACATCCTAGGATCGCACACACAGGACAGGTCTAAGAACAAGAGCAACTTTTACAACACCAGCTCGACTCCACAAGCTCAGGGGTACAGTGCTGGCCCAGGGAGCACAAAGCTCTCCAGAAAACTTCCTTGACACACAGCTGAGGTTTGGGTACAGAGTGAGAGGTCCCCAAGGCCTGGTCTCACCTCCCTGGACACCAAGGCCATCCCTAGGCTCCAGCAGGCCCAGGCATCAAGAAAACCCAGGAGCTACCCCAGGCAAGCACAGCTGGGAGGAGGGGGAGGGGAGGGAGAGGGGGAGGGGAAAGACAGGAGGAGAGGCGGGAGAGGGGAGGGGAGGGAGGGGGGAGGGGAGGGGAGGTCCTGGTTTCACATGGGTCCCCTGCTTCCAAGGTTTCAGGCACTCCACACCAGGCTGGGCTGGGTGCCCAGGATGAGGACAGCTGCCTGCCTAGCGAACCAATGCTCTGTGTGCCCGCCTGCCCAGGGGGGCCTCAAGCAAGGGCCCTTCTGCCACCCTGGCCAACCAGAACCAAGCCTTGGCCTCTGCCCCAAGGAGCATCCCTTTCAGGAACCTAAGCCTGTGCCAAAAATGAGGCCCAGAAACTGGGCTAGAGAAATCCCTCCGCAGTTACAGTGTCTGCCTGGCAAGCTCCGAGTTCAAATCCGAGCACCACGCAAAACAAACCCGAGATTTCCATCCCACAGTGCTGGTCTTGACGCCCAGAGGCGGGACGGGGCCGTGGTTCGCGCCCAGCGCTGCCACGGCTTGGGTCAAGCCAGGGGGACCCGACCACAAGCGCAGCCCCGGGACAGGGATGGGTGCAACCAGCAGACACCAGCAGCCTCCCCACCATCCTCCCAGCCTCCCTGCCTCCCTCCCGGGAATGCACTGAGTCAGGACACCAGCAGCACCGCTGCTGTCACTAACTGAAGGCCACACCGCCATCTGCCAGAGTCTGCCCACGGTCCGCGCCCACGTGCGGAGGACCCGGCCCCAGCTCGACCCGACGCTCCACCCCAGCCTGCGAAGGGCTCACCGGGCCCTGTGCGCACTCGGACTCCATGGTCCCAGCGGCGTCCTGCCCGCGCAGCCCGCGCAAACTTGCAGCTGCGGACCTGGAGCCGCGGAAAGAACTTCCCAGAGCCCGGGCGGCGGAGAGGGGCCGAGGGCCGGCGTGCCCAGACGTCCCGGGATCCCTGCACCCCGCGTCCTGCCCGTGCCCCGTGCAGTCCCGGGACCCCAGTGTCCCCCTGAACCCTACTTCCGCCTGGCTCAGCCCCGCGCAGTCCCGGGACCCTCGGGACCCCCTCCCGTCCCCCTCACGCCCCACGCAGTCCCGAGACCACGCATCCCCATGCGTCCTCCCCGCGCCCCAGTCCCAGCACCTGCGCGTCGGCCCCTTTTCCCCGTCCTCCCCACGTCCCGCGCAGTCCCATGACTCCCGCGTCCCCATCCATCCTTCCCGCACCCTACACAGTCCCGGAACCCCCGCGCTCCCGTCCTCCCCGCGTCCTCCCCGCGTCCCACATGGTTCGGGAACCCCTGCGTCCCCACACGTCCTCCCCGCGCCCCGCGCAATCCCGGGACCCGAGTGTCCCACCTTCCCGATCCTCCCCGCGCCCTGCGCAGTCCCGGGACCCCTGCGTCCCCACCCATCCATCCTCCCTGCGCCCCACACAGTCCCGGGACCTCCGCGTACCCCGCCCCCTTCCTCCCCGCGCAGTCCCGGAATCCCCGCGTCCCCCTGAGCCCCGCGTCCGCCTGACACAGGCCCGCGCAGTCCCGGGTACCCCGCGTCCCACTGCGCCCCGCGTCTCCCTGGCACAGCCTCTCTGTCCCGGGCACCCCGCGTCCCCCTGCGCCCCACGCAGTCGCTCGTAGTCCCCGACCCACGTCCCCCGCGCCCTCACCGTTGAGCTGCCGGTAGACGATGTCCTCGAGCAGCGACAGGCGCCGCAGCACGGCGTCCTGGACGGGGCGGGCGGGCGCGCTGAGGTTGGCGGCCTCGGCGCGCGGCCGGAGCTCGTGGAAGGCGTCCCCGCCGCGCACGGCGATGGGCCGGCAGCGGGCCAGGAACAGCACGAAGCCGGCCACGGCCGCCAGGTTCAGCACCAGCAGCACCTTCACCCGCCTCAGCGAAGCCATCAAACAGCCCGGCGCCGCCGCCCTGCGCCCGCCCGGGCTCCGAGAGGCTGGCGCGCCGGGCGGCGGCTGCGGGCCCGCCGAGTCCGCGCTCCCGGGCGCCTCGGATCGCAGCGCGGCCGGGCCGAGTCCTCCACCGCCCGGCGCGAGGCGCAGGCCCGCGTCCGGAGCCGCGGGCGGCCGTCGCGGGGCGCGGCCGGCGACTCAGCCGCGGACGCGCTCCCCGGGGCGGGCGCCTTTGTTCCGCCGGTCCCCCCGCTCCATGGCGCGGAGCCCGCGCCGGGGCCGCCCGCCGTCTCGCCTGGGTCCCGACTCGGGATGGGGCGCGGCCCGCGGGGAGCGGCGGGGCGCTGCGCGCTGCTCTCCAGACCCGCCGCGCACCCCGAGTCCCGAACCCGCGCCGCGAGCCCCGGGCGGCCGCCGCGGAGCCGGAAGGAGGGGCGGGGCCTCGGGAGTCTCCGCGGGCGGGGCGGGACGGGGAGGGGACTGGAGGGGAGGGGAGGGAGGCGTGGGCGCCGAACTGGCCGAGCGCGGTGACGCTGGCGCTGCGGCACCTCCAGCCCCACGGCTCCGGGCGCCGGGAGCGGACGCGCAGGTGGCGGGGGAGGGGGGAACGGAGGGGAGGGAAGGAAGGATGGGACGGGGGGAGGGAGAGACGAGGAGGGGAGGGGAGGTGCGAGGAGGGGATGGAGAGGGGAGGAGGGCCGACAGAGGGGCGGGGCGATAGGGTGGGCGGTGCTAGGGTGGTGGGCGGGGGCTGTGCGGAGGGGAGTTGTGTGGTGGGAGTAGGGCGTGGCTAGCGCGGTGGGCGGGGCGGTAGGCGGGGTTATGTGGTAGGCTATGGGGCGTGGCTGTCCTGTGGGCGGGGCTATGTGGTGGGAGGTGGGGGCTAGGCGGGGGCGGGGGAGGCGATGTGGTGGGCGGGGCTGTGCAGTGGGCGGGGCGAGGAGGGACGGGGGACTCCTACACCGCTGGGCCGCTGCTCACTCAGGGCTGCTGGGCCCCGGGCTCCGGGCCTGGGGCGCCGCGGCTCGGAGGCACTGCCGCGATGGGCTCGGGTTTCCGAGGCGCTCAGCACCCCCTGAGCGGGCGGGTGGACGCCATCCATCACGGCCGGCGATGCTGACGCCCCGGTGCGCCCCCGCCCGCTCCGCACTGCGTGGCCAGAGCGGCTGGAGGCAAAACCCGGCCTGGAGCCGCAGGGCCGCGGAGCCGCCTCCTCCCCGGCGGGCTCAGGGCGCGGCCGCCGAGCAGAGCAGGCCTCGTCTTCTGTAATACACGTGTTTATTAATACACGTGTAGCTGATGATGATGATGATGATGGTGATGATGATGATGATGGTGATGATGATGGTGATGATGATGACGCTACAAGGAAGTGTCTATTCCTCGTCTTCCACAATAAACTTGCTTAGTCCTCGTCTTCAGCAATGCGCGTGCGCTCCCAGGCCCCTCCCCGCGCGGGGATCTACCCGGGGGTGCTGCGCCCGGGACCCCTTCCCTTCCCAGGCCGCCGGCCCGCGCCCTCCTCCCGAGGTCCCTGCCTTCTTTATTCTGCTTGCTGTTTCCTCGTGGGAGGAGTCGGGGCTCTTCCTTTTCTAAATCTTAATTTAAGGCACTGTTTTGGGGGTACATCTTGGGGGGCGTTACTGCGAACTTTTCATGGCGGTGAAAAATGTACTTCGGTCACCGTGTTCCTCCTCGTGGCCGTGCTCATGGCCTGCTCCCTCTGGCCCTTTCTATGAAGTACTGGTTTGTTTGTGTTTTTTTTAGCATAGAAAGTACATTTTAAAAAATAGAACAAGTGGTGCTCTGCCACTTGAGCGAACCCTGTCTTCCAGCCCCACTTTTTGCTGGTTATTTTGGAGATGGAGCCCTTCCGACATTCCAGCCGAGGCTGACTTTGCACGGTGAGGTCCCCAGCCTCCCACAGTGGCTGGGATGACAGGTGCGAGCCACAGGCACCCAGCTGCCTCTCAAGGCTACTTTGGCAGCCTTCGCATCTCTTTCAGTTCAATGTACTCCAAAATGCCATGCTTTGAGGTACCTGGTACTTAGCGCCATCATCAGAGGCATCTACAGCCCTCATTTTTGGAGCCTCTTGGAGATAGCTGTGGGGGTACCTCATCAGTGTCAGACACAGGAGCGGCTGTCAGGTTTACAGGGAAAAAAGCTACCTGTGACAGTGCCTGGCAGCCACCCAGTTACCCAAGATTTTTTCTTGCACTTTGTCTCTCTCCTCTGCAAATTCCCAGTGGGGGTTTACATGCACCATGGTACATACAGACTGACTCTGATGAAAGATGCCAGTATGGACCTCCTCATGGCCCATGCATGGAACATGAAGGAGAATTTCTTTATGGGTAGCCACAAAGCCAGCCTCAGAACCTCTGCTCTGGGCCTCGGGGCCTGGAAGTACAGCTCACACTGTCAGCATTTCAGTGCAAGTCCACAAAAGCCCCACACCCACAGAGCTGGAGTCCACACAGCCCAGCCCCCACAGCTCCAGTCCACATAGGCCACATCCATACAGCTCTGATTTGTCCATTACCCTCTGCCACTCACCACAACTCTGCATAACAGGTGTAATTTCACACAGAATGGCTGAGCCCTGCTTTCCCACCTGTCCACCCAAGCTGGGCCACACTGAGGCCTGAAGAAAAACCCCAGGACTACACAGGGGGAATGCTTAGGAATATGCAGCTCTTCCCAAAGAACCGCAACGTCTCTGATTCACTGTCTTGCCATAGTCTCTGACTTTGGTTCTGTGGTGGTAATCCCTTGCCCCTTCCGAAGGCTCTGGGGCAGGTGTCTGGTTGTACTTACTGGCTTCTATTTAGATTTGTGCTTGCCTGCTGATTTTTAATTAGTGTTATTGGGGTCTAACAGTCCAGGATAAAAGAAATGCCAAAAGGGCACATTTCAAACTGGAAGTGGTTTGGATATTAGAGGGTGGGACCTGGTGGGAGGAAGTTAGACCACTGGGTAGATTCTTGTATGTGTGTGTATGCTCATGTGTGCTGATACTGGGGCTTGAACTCAGAGCCTCATGTTCACACTTGGCTTTTGCACTCGGGGCTGGCACTCTACCACTCAAACCATACCTCCAACCGGTTTATTGGTGGCTAATTGGAGACCACAGTCTCATGGATATTCCCATCCACACTGGGTTCTAATCTTGATCCTCAGATCTCAGCCTTCTGAGTAGCTGGGATTAGAGGGATGAGCACCAGCACCCATCAGCTTATAGGCATGTTCTTTTTTTGGGGGGGGGGGATCCAGTCCTGGGGTGAACTCTGGGCCTGGGCACTGTCCCTCAGCTCTTCAGCTCAAGGCTAGTGCTCTACCACTTGAGCCACAGTGCCACTTCTGGCTTTTTCCTTTTTGCTTATGTGGTACTGAGGAATTGAACCCAGGGCCTCATGCATGCAAGGCAAGCGCTCTACCACTGAGCCACCTTCCCAGCCCATATGCACGTTCTTGAGGAGGATACAGAGTGCCAATCCCATCCTCCCTCTCTCATTGCTGCCTGGATTACAGGCATGAACCACAGGTTACTTGGTCCTAATTCATTTTCATGGGTTCTTTATATTGTCAAGTCGCAGGAAATCTCCCTACATCTGAACCTAGTAGCCATTCCCCTTCATGTTCAGTGGGAGTGGCTTGCCTCCCCAGCTTCCCACTGCCGGAAGCTCCATCCTTGGGAGGGATGAGTGAGGACCACCCTGGCATCTCCCTGCACGCCCTGTGCCTGACTCCTGGAAGGAAATGAAGAAACTTCTTCCCATTCTTTTAAATCTGACTTCTGAGCAGGCCCAGGAAAGAAGAAAGAGAAGCTGAGAAAGAAAGCCAAGGATTTTCCAGGCAGGGCTTGGTCACCAGGACTCTGCCAGGACACCAGCATTCTGCCAGGATACTGGAACTGTGCCGGGACACTGGGGCTTTGCCTGGACACCATTGTGGATGATGCATCCTGGGACCAGGACCAGCTTTCTTGAAAAAGAAGCACCTGTCCTGGTCACCAGCCACTCATAGGGACCAGCCCGGCCTCTGCCATACCTCCCTTCCCAGCCTGGCCTTGCCAGATTACAGAGCCCAGATCTAAGTGGACAGCCCAGTTAGGAGGATCACCTCCCTGCCCTAACCAAACCCACATCCCAGCGTGGGACCTGGGGGGCTCGCCCAGCTTCCTGGCCTCCCCTGAGCACCTGTGAGCCCCCAAACACTGAGGTGATCACCAGACCTCCCACTAGGCCCCAGGATCCCCAGGACACAGAGGCCCACAAGGGTCATTGAGAAGAGGGCAGAGTGGGGCATGGGGGTCAAGTCCACGCCCGCCCAGACCCATGCTCATGCCACTCAGGAATTGCTCTTGTTCTAGAAACAAGCTATAAGGAAAGAAGACCCAAATAAGCAGACCCAGCCAGAGAACGGGACAGACAGACACCCGAGACCCTAGGGGCCCCGGAGCCACTGTGACCAGCATCCCACCAGCCCACGGGAGATGTCCAGTGCTTCTGCACAAAAGGAATTATTTTCCCATTTCCTCCTTCAGGTAATTGTTTAAAGTCCTGACTTGTCTTGGCTCGAGCGTGGTAGAAGTGGAGCACGGTTCATCTTTTTTAATGAGATCTGTGACATGTTCGTGAAAAGCAGCATCGCAGCTAAACGCTGACCATCTGGATGCAATGAAATGTTAACCTGGATGTGGGAACCACCACAGGAGACCCCCCCCCCCGCCACGCCTCCCATGGGCAGATACCAAGTCGTCCTCCACTCTGTCCTGGCCTTCCCACAGTCAGATGGACCCTGGGGCCACTCAGGGCTGTCCCTCCCATCCAGACCTCCAGGCAGAAGGTCACCCGGAGGCCACCATCTCCCAAACTCCTCTAAGATTTATGGTGGTTTGGAGCAGGGCACCAACACCAGGCTTGGAGCCAACACAAGGGAATGAGTGAAAAACCTTGATTAAAGGGGGATGGGGAGGTAGCCTTTGGTGTACC